CAAGACCAACACTACACTCCTCATCACTATAAACTCCTTTGGGGTCTTCATTGAAACTATCTATGTTGGCTTTTACCTTTTCTATGCACCAAAGAAAGCCAGGGTAAGTTTTTCAAGAGTTATTTTTTTCTCTTTCTTTAATTATTTCCCTCTTACTATGAAGAAAGAAAAGAAATAATTTATCATATTCTTACAAATGCAGATCCAAACTGTGAAGATGCTGTTTTTAACAGTGGTTGGTGGATTTGGTGCAATAATCCTCATTGCTCAGTTTCTATTCAAAGGTGTCGCTCGTGGCCAAGTGGTTGGATGGGTTTGCCTTGTTTTCTCCTTATGCGTGTTTGTCGCGCCATTATGTATAGTGGTAAGCTAGAAAATTAGTTCTGAATCTCATTTTTTAGGATTTAACTTATATACACTAACATTAGACTGTAAAAATTCTTTACACGGAGACTGCTCTCCTCTTGGTTGATCATTTTATGCAGAGAAAAGTTATTAAAACAAAGAGTGTGGAATACATGCCACTTCTCCTATCAGTTTTTCTCACATTAAGTGCAGTGATGTGGTTCTTCTATGGTCTTCTACTTAAAGACATTAACATTGCTGTAAGTTCTATTTTCAAGCTCATCATATATACCACTTCTTTAATTACTTGCATATGTGTTCTTACGTACTTTATTTTTTTTATGTTTTATAGGCTCCAAACATATTAGGATTCATCTTTGGTATTCTCCAAATTGTGCTCTATGTAATATATAACAAGAAAGAGAAGCACATCCTTAAGGAGCAGAATCTTCCTGAGCTACAAAATCATGTCATAATCTTGGATGATAACAAGAAGCTTCCAGAACTAACTGAAGAACAGAAAATTGACATTATGAAGCTTAGTAAATTGGTTTCAAGTTTGCATGAAAATGCATCTGCAGCAGCTAAAGAAGAGAACCTGCCCAAGCTACAATCTGTACAGGCCTAAGACTTTGTGAACCATTAAGTTTACATGCACATGCAACGTGTATTATCTTAACGAAATGCCCCCAGTATTAATTGAGCCAGACAAAATGAAGGCTAATTAATTCTGATCATTATCTTAATGATGCACATGCAACTTATTGGTGCTAGCCGGTGAAATTAAGTGCAGAGACATTTTGCACAAGACTAAGGTAGAATTATCGGTGTTATTACTTGACTGAGGAGCAATTGTTGAAAAAATTGGATGATTATGGAGAATAAAAGGTTTAGCTTGAGGTATGACAAGGATACTGTCCTTAAGAATATATATTTCGCTCACACCGTAATAAATAAAATTAGGCGTATTCCCCAGAATTCAACAAGCTCTTCTAGTATAAATTAGGAGCAGAAACAACAACGATTAATCAAAAGAAAACCCAGCACAAAAGAAAAGAGGAAGATAAGTTTTTACATTTTTTTTCGCACTCAAAATGGACACAAGGAATTATATATATGTAGTCCAAAAAATGGACATCAGATTGTTACCATAGTAAAGGCCAAAAATGTTAGAAAATTAAAGGCCATTTAAGGCTTTGAAAGAAAACGTTGGCCATTAAGGGTATTCAAGAATACTATCAAATTTCAGTTACAAAATCA